AACAACACAATACCATATCATCCTTAGCCACCCAAAGAAACCAAGTCATTATCCAATCCCTCGCCACCCTCACGGCTCATGTAACTGAGACCGATGAAAACCTMACCTACATCATTACCCAACTCCAAACCATCCTTCGCACCCTTCATCAACTACCAGCCTCCATCACCTCCCAAATACATCAACCTCAACCWTCATCCACATCATCCATCAATGAAACTCTTGCCACCCTCACCAACCAAATGGCCACCATCCAAACAACCCTCACCAAATTACCCACCACCATACTTAACAAAATCCCATCACAAACTCAAGCCCCACCTCCCTCTGCAGGCCCTTCCTATGAAGCAGCCTTCTCATCCTTCACTACAGAGGTGAGGAATCTTCTTGCTAACCTTCCCCTCCTCCATCTTCTGCAACAACCTCTGTGCCACCTCTTTCCTCAACAGGCACAGACTTTGCCACAAGAGCAGATCTACGGGCACTTTCAAAGGCACTTATCTCTTCATTCAATGAGATAAGTGCAAAGTTTGCTGCTCGATCTGTTGCACCCACCAATGTGCTGAGTAAGAGTTTACAACGCCAGCAAGAACGTACAAACACTCTCCTTCGCACAATGGAAGAATGGCGCAGAAAGGATCAAGTGTGCACTCTCGCTTCCCAYATTCGCATGTGGAAAAAGAAGAATCAATCAAAAGTTTCCTGCTCTTCCAGTCGCCCCTACAAACGCCCAAGGCATGAAGACCAAGACCCAGATGATTAAGATCTTGGACCTCATGAGGGGGAGACAGAGGCGGCTGCTACTCAACAAACAGGATCCGCTGCACCACAACAACCATCCCAACAGAAACAACCATCAACCCAACAAACCTAAGCTAGGGAACCAGAGGCCTTGCCCTCTGATGAAGAACAGAATATCCAAGTTCCCTTAGCCACAACTCCAGACCCCATCGTGTTGAGTTCTTCAACCGATGAAGAACTAACCACCCCACCAACACAACAAAACCAACCTCTTTCTTCTACACCCACAACAAACCTACCTTAACCCCTTCACCAACACCTTGCATAACTCAACCCTTCATCTTCTCCACACAACCAGAACCCACAACAACCCAACCTTCTTCACCCCAACAACCAGAACCCACAACAATCAAACCTTCTTCACCCCAACAACCAGAACCCATAACAACCCAACCTTCATCACCCCAACCAACCAAAGAAAACTCACCCACTACCCAAACACAACCAGCCGAGACACAACCCATGGTGCATGCGGACATTCCTTCTTCCTCAAGGAATCCTCCTCAAGGCCTGGTGGATGAAATAATTCAAAACATGGAGTCGTTAAGGAGAAGACCTTAATTGCCGCCCAGGGAACCAATAATGATGGAAAATATCCATTAATACATGTACTGAGAACGCGAAGAAAGCCTGTCAACCAATCCTCCAATCTTATCGCCAGAATCTATGAACCTTCTACATCATCGTTTCATAAGACAGACTACTTAACCACCACATGCTGTCTTTTCGAACGATGGAATAAGAAGAGTAATAGACTTGAAGATAAAGTCATTTGYCAACAGAGCCATACGCTACATCGAGTTCAATGTGGAGAGAGCCCATGGGGTAGTTAGCGTGTTCAACAAGAACGACCTCATCAACCTCAATCCATATGACTTGATTGAGTTATATGCCTACACTGCTCAAAGGCAAGATCATGGGATACGATTTGGAATGGTGAGCAGAGTTATTGTCAAAACAATGGAGTCCCTGGTAGAACTCAGAGCCAAGACAGATTTTGAAATTGCATTCAGGCTAGGCATTGAGAGATTATCCTGCGCTCCTCCAAATGAAGATTTCCAGGGCCTGCAGGAGATTCGTTTTGCTTCAGTTCTTTCTCAACCTGAACTCGGACTTGTTTACAAGAATGAGTTTGGGGTTAAAAAGTTCTTCAGATTGACTGAAGCCATCAAGTATTCAACAGATACACTTGAATGGTTTCAGAAAAATATTAGAGAAAGACTGGGCATAAACCACGTGCCAAGGGAAGAGGGAAGCCATCTCATTCACGAAATTTCAACGTTGCCTATAGAAGACTACTCTTGCGCTTCAGGGAGATATACTCAGGTAGTCCGTGATGAGATGGAATTTGTGCTTATTTTGCCTTGATGTAATTTGTTTCCAGTTTTGTAAAGAAATTTCATCATCCAATGAAAATTTGGAATTTGATGTTTTTTCTTCTAGACTAGTGTCTGTTCTTCACATATACCTAGATTAGACTTTGTTATTTCATTACTTAAGGGGAGATTGTTTAACTCCACAATGCAAAATGTAAAAAGTAATGAAAAACAACAAGTGATGAAGAACCAGAAGACCGATGAAGACATCAAGGCAAAAACGACTAAGTCTGGAATTCGACCATTGGATCGATGGACAGACTAACCAGAGGATCGATGGACAAGCAGACCATGAAGATTCAAAGATAAATGAAGATTCAAAGATAATGATGAATTCATCACATCGTTAATGACAGCTGGAGATGACAAGTCAACAGCTAGAATTAGAGTTTATCTTGATAATAATTCTTATCCATATAAAAGATAAATCTTATCTGTTTATTAGAAGATTTGCTAGAAAGTAGCAATAGATGGTTATCTTCTAAACAGCCGACTAGTATAAATAGATGATTAGGTCTATTGTAAAATTAAGGCTTTTACTCTTTGTTTTACATTTCTTTGAAGCTCAAAAGTGTTCTTAATCTTTCTTATTTTATTCTTGAGACTTCATAGCTTTCTTCATTAAATCACTATAATTTGGTTATTCATAACTAGATTATTAGTGTTATTGAGAGATCTGGGATCAACATAAGGGTGACATATCAATGAGAGGTGTACCATGGGATAAGGGTGACATATCAAGGAAATGTGTATTTTCGATTATAAGGGTGACATATAAAGGAAAGGTGTACCTTTGAATATAAGGGTGGCATTTGTGTGTGGAATTATTATAGCTCTTGATATTATGTCTCTTAAGATTACAATAGATTTGAGTTCTTACTTCTTTCTGATTTGAGGACTCGGAAATGTTGTTCTTACTAGAAATGATAGTATTGATGTTATTGAGAGAGGGAAAACTTGGCTTATGGCCAATGGTTTTTTGGATAAATTTTGTTTTGAAACAAGTGTTTGATTTATGAGAAACCATAGAGGCTCTGGTTATTCCTTGAAAGGAACCAGAGGGGCTCTGGTTGGTCCTCATAGTAGAACCAGAGGGTTCTGGACGATGATTTGAGATTTATACAAATCGTTTACTAAAGTTTTATTTAGACCAGAGGCTCTGTATTTTCTAGATAAGAGCTCTGTGTCAAATCTTATTCTAAAAGTTGTTTTAAAGATGTTATACTTAGAAACCTTTACACAAATAAAGACAGACCAGAAGCGCTCTGGTTGGCCTACACTTTGGACCAGAAGCTCTGGTTGGCCTTGCATTTTGAGCCAGAAGCTCTGGCTAGTATAACCAGAGCTCTGGTCATACAAGATCTTTATAAAAATGTGTTTTTATAATTGCGGAAAATTATTTCACTATCTACAATGTTGTCTATGAATGTTAAGAAAATTTTACTTGAGTAAAAGGCTCTAGTTGGCTTAACCAGAAGCTTTGGTAGAGGAACAAGAGGGGCTCTGGTCCTGTTACTTGTTAAAATATTTTCTAAGTTTGGTCTTTAGAATCAGAGGTCCGATGGACACAAACAGAATGTGGATTTACATTTCATCATGTGAATTAACTTTATTTAAATAATGTTTTGGTGATTTTCACCCTGCAACTACATGGAAAAAGGGATCTTACTAGACCTGTAGGTCTAACCCTCATTTGGTGTTTTCAAATATGTATTGCAGGAAATGCATAATATAATGATAATAAGGGAAAAGACAAAATGTGATTTATCTCCCCATGTGCATAGCTATATGAAGATCAATGGATGTGTTTTGGAGATTAGATGTTATATAGTACAAGAGCATGTATTTTGGAAATTTTGAGTTGTGTATTTTGTATTATAGCTTCTTCTACTTTGGACCTTTGTGGGAATGAACATATATTCTATAAATGAATTATGTGTTATATGCAATATGAGTTTGGGGGTGTTACATTAAGTGATAAGAGGCTCTGAAAATAATAAACAAACAAACAGTCTAAATTACAGAACATCAGAACATCTTAACAAATTAGACACAAGTGATAATTAATAACTGAAAAAAAAAAATAGAGAAAGCCTAAATCATAATTATTTAGCTATAGCAAGGGAGCCCACTACTTTTTTATATAAGCGCAAAAAACTGGTACACAAAGTCAACCTACAAAAGAACAAATGGCTAGGTAGAAAAGAATTACAAAGAAACCAAAACTTATGAGTTACTCAAGGAAAGGGATGCATACATAATTATAATTATTTCCAAACCTAAAATAATAATTAATAATAATAATAATAATAATATTATATAGGCTGGATACTTGGGCCATATGTTGGACTCCTTCCTACATCTCTGTTTCATGGTGGTGGCATGAATACAATAATGGATGAAATATACATGCAACAACTCATATTCATCTCTATTTATGGTCATCACTCAGTAACTTCAGAAATTCCATCACCTGCATGCATACCAATAATCATCACTAATATGATTCCATTCTAACTTGTCACTAATAAATGTGTATGTTAATTAAGGGCATTTTTTTTGTAAAGGCTACCTCTGATGGATCCCTGAGGGAGTAAAAGGCACTGCTTTCTTTGGGGGCTGAAGACACCAAGATCCCAAAACCCCGACCACCCTCTCTTAAAACCTGGTTTAACCATTTCAAACGTACACACCTAATGGATCATGAACCAGATGATATCTAACATGCCATTTGTTATATATATATATATATATATAGAGAGAGAGAAGGGGGGGGGGGRGGTTTAGGGGAAACGACAAAAAAATAAAAAGCTGAAGAACACCTTGGTACTGTTGTATGCACATGTGGATACAAGTAGTTGAAACTGCTTTTTGGTTTTTATGCACGTGTGCCATATGCATGTGTGCAAGTTACAAATTACTTGTATGCACATATGCATGCTTTCTAGATGAACGATTACCAGGGTGTTTCTCGGTTTTTCATTTTTTTTTTGTTTTACCTGAACCTGACCCTATATATATATATATATATATATATATATATTGCCAACAAGGTTTACCTTGAATGCGTCCTCATCAGTCCTGTCATCCCCCACATAGATCGGGAACACATCATCACAATCACCAAAGCCTACAAAAGCACCATTCATATTCAATTCTTTCATCATTTAATGAGGAACAAAAAAGAACCCACAAACTCTGCTAACCAAGCGACTCAAGCAAGAACTCAACAGCCTTTCCCTTGTCCCACTTAAGCACAGGTCGAACCTCTAAAACCTGAACACGAGTGAGTGAAGAAAAAGAAAAAAGATAAATCCCAGAGGAAAAGGCATATATCCATTATTCCATTTCATGCTACAGGAAGGCAAGATTTTGTACCTTTCTCCCATGTGTTAATCGTAAATGTGGATAGTGTTTCAGAATGTCTTGGACATATTGCGCAATTGTCGGCCAACTCTGTAATTGCAAAAGGAAAAATCATGCTTTGTGAAAATATGAGGAACCCTATTAGATTATTCTGCAAAAGAGCCCTTCATGAGAGAATGGAGGTTCCAACATTACTTGAGGAGAAAGAGTTCAAGTCTTAAGAGGGGGCTAGACGAGAGGGGTAAACCTTGACTCTAATACCATGTGAGAATATGGGAAACGCTATCAAATTATTCTCCAAAAAAGCCAATTGAAAAGAGAAGGGGTGTTCCAATACATATTGAGAGAAAAAAATGGTCAAAATTAGCATCAACAAAGAAATGTGGAATGCTACCTTCTCATCCACATTGCGGTAGTGTACAGAAATACAGAACTTGTTGTTCTCAATTTTTGCTCCTTTTATGTCTTTGGTTATTTCAACAAGGGATGTAAAAACCTACCAAAAGGTACAAACATTACAACTCTCCCAACACAAAAGGGTAATGCATATTTTACACAAAAAACTGACATTTGTATAAACGTTTGATACATTACTTCATTGATCATTGGTAGAAATTCACTAGCAGGCTGGAACAAGTTACCTTCTTCACCCTGTCAAGCAAATAAAATGAATTGCATAATCCAAATATGCAGGTACTGTTGATTCACACGGTTCATTTTACAAGAATTCTGAAAGTAACTACCTCATTGCCACTGCACCAAATAATATCATCCATATGATCATTAGGAGGCCGAACAGGACCCATTATGTCCATCCCGTGACTACCAGCATAATAGAGTTCTCGCAATCCTACAAACTCGTGTACCTGAAATAAGTAGTGAAATGATGTGTATCACCAAATATAACAATGATAGTGATAAAACACACCGTTGGTCAAGTAAATCCAAATAAATACCTTCACACGACTTCTCCCACTGATGATTGTTGTCGGGATGTCTTTTGCCACATTTTTCACAGCAGTGCGCATCTGAGTTTTACCACTTGTCATCAAAAAGGATTATTGGTGTATAATTTTCCAAGATTGATAAAATTAAGATGTAAGCCTTACTGCATCAGACATGAAGGCAAGATCAGGGTTGTCCACAATCGGGGATAGAGTTCCATCATAATCAAGAAACAACGCTATCCTCTTTCCCTTTGCATTGTTTATGATATGGTCAAAGGAGGTAAGTGCGGATGGATACTTGAGCTGCACAACAAAGAACGAAAGACAGTTAAGGGTGTCATGAACACATTTTAAAAGTTAAAACAAGACACAAAGAGGAGTGGAATAAGGGTATACCATCCAATTGCCATAAGCAACAGCCACATCATTTGATGAAATATCAATTCCAGAATCTATCTTTAGTTTCCTATGAGTGGGAGATGAGGATTGCATTGCATCCAACGAACTAGTTGAACGAACGTCACAATGTACACCAGGCTTTTTCCACGTGACTGTCAGAAAAAGGCCAGGAGAGAAGACTGCTCCCGAAGAGTATGGAAGCAGAGCATCATAAAGTCCTAATCTTGATTTGTTCATGGGGTCGATGAGTACAGGCGCGCTGTGATTAGATTTTAGGTGCATCAGATCCTTAACTGTTGGTCAATATATTGAATTAGTTGATAAAAGACAAAAAAAAAAAAAAAAAAAAAAAACACAAAAGTTCATGTTTTATAGCCAGAAGTTAGAGATCCTTTTAGCAGGCCATCTTGTCAATGAATAACCACAACTTCAAACTTCTTATTAATAACATCACTTAAACAAAAAGCAAATCGATAACAATCACATGGAAGGGAGAAATTTTCCATTTCGATATTGTGAGTTGAAAGTAATCCAAAAACCAAATCCACATGTGGTGGGGATATAGGGAAGAACAATAACATATTGAACCACATAGTATGGTCCTATTGAAGCATGGGAGTCGCTGAATTGTACAGGGACCCAAGACAAAACACAAGCAACAAATCATAAATATGAAATGAATTTGGTGAATAACTGAAAATCGAAGTCTTGATACTTCTGCATCTGTATTCGACCACACACTGCAGACAGAGCAATGAGCTACTGCTGCTTACTAAAAATCTTTTGTGGCCAATGGGTACCCAAAAAGGCTTCTCTTTATCTCAATTTATCGTATATCCAAATTCTTATGTAGTTGATTCGTGATACCTTCATCTTATTGGCAGCAAACCCCTTGTAGAAGGTAGAAGCAAAATGATCGTGACTAGAACTATACAAATATACAAGCTGATTATGTCACCCTCACTAAAAGAACTTATAACCCACATCATAGAAATAAACAAAAAAGAGTTGCATGACTCTAAAAAAATTATATTTATATGGGTAGGTTTGAAACAAGAAGGCTAAATATCATAAGATGATAAGAATCATTGAAAAAATCCATTTGAAGATACATATGTGAACCGATATGAATAATGTAATGTCGGTTAACATAAGCATCTATAAATAGACATTTTTCAGTGATTCACATATGAAATTTCACTTAATCTTCTCTTCTTACCTTCTTACAATATTTAATCTTTTCGTTTGAACTCTAAGAGTCCCATCTTCAAGATGCTTGAAATTTACAAGCAATATTGTCCAAGAATACCACCAAAACTCCAAAAGATGGAAAAGTAGTTTGTGATTTATTGGTTGATGAATGAGGGTCTTGAAAAACTCAAGTATGTAGACAACAAAACTTTTTGGACTTCCGCAACAAAAAGCTTATAAAATAAAACCCTTGAATCTATAAAACTTGGTGTGAAAATTGTACCAATCGGCTGTGGACCAAACGTATTTAACTAAGTATCTCTCAATACAGAGATGAATCTAAGATCATACTTGCATTCATCAAAAACATTTTCACCACCTTAGATCGAATATAACTATCAGCAAACAATGTAGGAGGCCCTAAAAAATTGAACGAGTGTGCAAATTTCTAAAATGAAACAACTCGAATTGAAGCATTGTTACCGAACTTACGATCCGGTGAAGAAGCCGTTTGGTCCTGTGAAGAAGCCGATTCTAAAGCTCCGTCTTAATGCCGAATCGAATTTGTTAAAGGAACACGAAGAGATACAGAATCATCAAACAAAAGAAAAAATCGTCAATAGAAAATTATTATATGAAAAACTTGCAGGATATACCATGAGATCATGAAGACCAATCCAGTTGAAAATGGCAATAGAATCAAATCAAAAAAGATACAAGAAAAAGACAAAGGCATTACCTTAAGATGAGGGAGCGAGAAAAGCTGTGAACGAATGATGACGAAGCCCTAGAAAATGACAGAGATGATAAGGGTATAGATGCAGAAAGCATGTATAGGGGAACAGGGGGAGGGAAAGAGAAGAAGAGGGTTTTATGAATTTTCCGTTTGTGGTGTTGACGAGCGTGCGTGCGTGCATGTCCAAAAATAGTAAAACTCCAGCGCTGAATCTTGACATGAGACTTTTCCATTTTTGAACATCTCTTTTTTCCTCACGCGCTCGCTGCTGCGTGTATCTTCCTTCCTTTGTTCGTAATTAATATTTTCTTAGGAGTGAATTACAAATTTGGTCCTTGTAATTTATGTGTTTTAATATTTTAGGTCTTTATTTTAAAATATTTATGTATTACAGCTATGTGGTTTGTAATTTATAACCTATTAGATCCCTCACTTTTGATTATGTTAATTTTTTTTCTGTTAAACATGGTAATTAAAAGCGCATTTTAATTATATTCTTTATTTTTATTGAAAACACAAGGACCAAACATGTAATTTACGCTCTATATATATCTATACTACATATATAATCATTTAAGTCATTATCTTAATTACAACTCTTGAAGCATAGGTTACAACCATTTTATGCAAAAAATTCAGAAAACTCTTAATTACAATTCATCAAGCATGTAGTACAAGTTTTTTATGCATTGAGTTTATTAGCCATGGTCAGAACTTGCTTTTTCTCTTCTCTTTTGTTATTATTCCTTTCCAGCTTCCTTTCCTCCTATCATGAATCCTCAGGTGCGCCAAAACAAAATTGGTAAAATCAAACCTTTGCTTTCTTCAGTTGCTCCAACCTTTGCACATTCTAGCCCTAATTTCAGCCGCCTCGCTTCCCTTGAACAAGAAGAACACCACATACTGCATCTGTCTTCGTCCCTTTCTCTCCCGTGCTCTCCTCCATCGTCCCTGCTCTCTCCGATGCTCTCCTTCGCCGTCCCTGTTGTCCTTCGTTTTACCAGCATCGTCGTCTTCTTTCATCACACAACAGGTTTTCTTCATTTCAATTCTTCTACTCTATTCAATCATCTCCTGGTTCGATTCTTCATCTTTGCTCTCAATATTATGTTTCTGCACTTGAGATCAAGCCATGGCTCACTAGAGTTCCAAAGACAACAAGATTAAAGCACCCTTATTGTTGGTTCTTTTTTGTCCTTACTTTTTGGCTCTTTTCTCTCTTAAAAATGGAAACAAGACTCCATCTATGTAACTAATGTGAATCTATGGTATTATTAATTTCATGCAGCTTCTCTCGTAAAGCTGTTGGGGTGAGCATTTCTTCTGGAATCTGTTCTCAACTAACCAATTGTCCCTTTCTTTCTGATAATGGTGGCCTTTACTTTTGTTAGCTTGAGTTTTTGATAATGTATGTATTGTTGCTTGTATTCTTTCTGCTTATGGGTTCTGTTCTATGCTGGAACTTGTAGATACATACTGTAAATGTATGAATTGATGTATCTTTTGATATGTTATGTTTCCATAAGGGTGTTCTTTTGTAACTTTTGGAAAGAAAGCAGTTTGAAGGCACCACCAGTCTGTTGTATCAGTTTTTATTTTCCTTTTACTTCCTGCATGAGTTATTAGATCTTATCTTTTGAACTTTGAACAAGGTTGGTTGGTGTACTCAAGATATTGATAACCTTTTAAATGGGAAAACTATGCCTATGAAGAAGCATAAAAAATCCTTCTGGCAATGGCTTCTCCAGGTGCATCAAGTATAATGTACGGACATCTACACTGTAACGCCCCAAACCACATATTGCATCTAACACATATTTCATACAAAAGAAATACATGATATTATTCCATTCAGGTCCCTTAGTACAAGAATCTATAATAACCAAATACAAGGTCCAAAAATTCAAATACATATCTTGTACTAATCAATCAAAACTGTACATCAAGACAAATCTTCAAGCAGAAATGTATTTAGGAAAATATTACATTTTCCCCTTTTCCTTACCGTCCGTACCTCCTGCAACACATAGTTAAAATCACAAAACGAGGGTTAGACCGAAAGGTCTAGTGAGATACCCTATTTATGTTATTGCAGGGTGAAAATCACCAAAATCTTTATGAAAAACAATTATTCATATATATAACAAATATATAAACGAATAGAGACATAATACCAGATCCTTTTCACTTTTTAAGTAAAGCATTCAGCTATACAAATCTCATACCTTTGAACCAATCAGGTTTCATATAATGTCACTTTTAAACCTTTTCTAATCAAACAAGGTTTATATAAAGTTTCAGGCCAAACCTGATGTTTTTCTCCTCAATAACATCCAGACTATGATTTCCAATAAGAACATTGATCCTAAATTTTTAAATCACAAAGAAATAAAGATTCCAGACCATGGTAATCTTAAGGGATATAATAGAAAGAGTTATATCATACAACACACATACAAATGCCACCCTTATATCCAAATGTACACCTCTCCTTAATATGTCACCCTTATCCCATGGTACACCTCTCCTTGATATGCCACCCTTATTTCCTCATCAAAACTTTTCATAAAACAATTCCAAATAGACCGCAGTCAATGGAATTATTATTAATCCAAACTCATTTATATCAAATCTTCATTTTATGATAAAATAACAATTTGTATCATTTAAACACAAGGCACAACTTAAATCCGGTCAACCTAGGCTTGGCCGGACTTCATCTCCAGTCAAGTCTTGGTCGGTTTACCAAATCCGGACAACTTATCACCCAAGACTTGTCCGATTTAACACAGAGAATAAATTCCAACACCTTTGTCCGGATAACAAGTCCGGACAAACATCGTTCAAAGCTTGACCGATTTAAAATAATCCGATCACCACATGGTCGTATTCCTACTTCTCAGTTCAAAATGTTAACCATTCTTATCAATCATAACTCGCTTGACACTTAACCGGTTTAAGACTAAACCGTTCAACACTTGAGCGGTTTAGGACTTAATCGCCCAACCCTTGATCGACATAAGAATAACTCGGATAAGCTTTGTCCGATTTAAGAAATATCCGGACAAGCTTTGTCCGATTTAAACCTAATCCGGTCACCCTTTGTCCGGATAAAACTCTTAAACAAATACCTGATTTCTTTCCAATAATAATCAACATTCAAATAAAACCAGTAACAAGTTTTATGCAAAAAGGTTTTGAAATCACTCACCTTAACAAGCCTTTTGAAAACAACCTTCTTGAAATCAGATACTTGAAATCCGGCCAATTTCTCTTTCTCTTTTAAATCGCCTACTTTTATCAAAAATAGCAAGAAGAGAAATATGGAGGCTTCAACCTCCTTTTATACCCTTCT